TCGTCAAGAACATGAAAGCCACCTCTGGAGCTCGATGGAAAGGACACTTATTAATCCAAGGCACCATTGATGCTCTCCAGAACAACTCATCGTCGTTCATGTCATGTCTGATGCTAGGTGGCTTCAGATAATCCTTCAGTCCTATTCGACTGTCCTTTGGTGGTGGGGATGGTGATGGTGTTGGTGGCGGCCGAGTTAGTGGTTGAGGCGACAGGAGTTGGAGGTGATGGTGGTGGAGTGGTGGAGAGGAAGAATCGGGTGAAATGTAGTTTAAGAGATAAGTTATGACATTAATTAAAAATAATAAATTTACGTTTTTAAATAAAGTATTGTGTAAGCATTGGTCCTTGTGGCCTAAGGATTTTAAATTGGGTTGAAAGATGTATTCTCATTCCTTAGCTTGCTATTCGAATTCCTGTCTCCAAATGTAAACTTATTTAAAAAACAATAATAATAAAAAATTTTGTATAAAGATCTATGTAAAAATACTCTTAAATAAAACTATAATTGGTAATTATTCCTCTCTCATCCCAATAATTAAAATATTTTAGTTGGGAGAGTTTTCTCTTATGTTCTGGTGATTTTCCAGAACTTAATAAAGTTTCATTGTTTATGTTTTGAGTTAAGCTTAAGCATGTTTTAGATATTACAATGAAATAGCAAAAGGGTGGAAGGAACTCTTTTTTAATATCTTAAATTCAAGTTTTACAACTGAAAAAATAAGACATTATGAGAAGTTTTCTTTATATGATTCAAATTTAAATAAATCAAAATCTAATATGATTTATAAATATAAGTTAGTACTAAAAACAGGATATTACAATGGGATGAAATTATTATAGTAATAGGCCACTACGGACTCAGACGAACTTGGAGCTTTTTAAATTGCACGCAAACCAAACTCCAGAATGAACTAATCCGAATCCATTTTATTCTTAATGGGCTAGGGCTGAGGCCTGATTGGGCTATAGATTATATGTAGATTTAGCAAGCCCACAAATGGAAAATTTCATGACCTTACGTATATATTATAACGATGTTAGTACGAGTGAAATGAGTTTAATTTTTTTTAAATAATAAAATCTTGATTTTAAGTCTTATAAATAGAGAAACATACATTGGGAGAGCTTTCCTTTAATGAGATTTGACATGAGTCGATTTTGGATTAATCGAAATCCAATTGATTACAAAATATCGAAAAGTTAATACTAAAATATATATATATATATATATATTTCATGGGCTTCATATATATTTAGAACAAATGAGATTCGAAATGTGAAACTTCTCCAATTCTTACATGCATCAATCACGAAACCTCATTAATATTTAATATAATAAAAAAAATTTTCTTTTTTTAATCATTTTCAAAGCATCAAACAAAGTTAGAAGAATAAAAAGTGTTTAAAAGAAAGTTGGTTTATCCGAAACAAGAAAATGACAGCACTTGATCAAAGGAAGTTGAATGTGGCAACTATTTTTGGTGGAAATTGTAATAATCCACAAACCATCTCAAATATTTTTTCAAGAGCCAAAGTGTGCCAAACATAAGCATCACACGCTTCCCCAATTACTTTATGCGCCCTTCAATATCTATTTATCTTTGTAATCAACTTAATATATTGCCCTAATTTGAATTTCTTTGAATATACTAAGTCGATATAAGTAGTTTTATGATCTCTTAAAAATAATTAATGTCAAGATACATAAAAATTAATATAAAAATGTTTTAGTCGTAAATACAAAATATATATATATATATATAAATCTCTATAAAACGGAGAAATTATATACCTTCTATTATATAACTAGATATGATATTCAACCTCTCGTTGTTGATCACACTATGATTTTGACATAACTAATCATGGTTAAAGTTATATTAATTGAAGGCCTTCAATATCATTTGCAGATGGGAAAGGGCAACATCAGCAATTAAGTCGTTTCCTTCTAGATGCATGAATATAACATGTTGAACAACCAAAGGCTAATTTTTTTATCCTTCTTCTGAATCACTCATTCGTGTGTAAATTAAAAGTATAATTAAACAAGCATAATAAAAAAATTCGCAATGTTAACTGGTACAAGATATCAAATGGGAGTTGACAAGGTTACAAATCCTTTGTTTTGTTTTTTTTTTTTTTTTTCCTTAAAAAAAAGGTAGAGCTATCATATTGAAAAGTGCTGCGAAAGAGTATTGACATGGCACTCTAAGACTCGATTAAAAATCAAAATATCTTGTCTCGCCTCTGAAATGATTGCACCTAAAACTATGTACGTAGTATATATGTTTTGATGTGATTATTAGGGTTAAATAATTTTAACTGATATTTTATTAATTTAATGATAATTGATACATAATAAAAAAATTATTTTTATCACTCAATAAATTAAAATTAATAGATAAATAAATATTTTTAAATATTATAGTTAATTATTTTAAAATTTTATAAAAAAATAAAATATTAATTAAATTATGTAATTTGAACAAAAAATAATTTTGAGACAATCATTTTGTATTATTTTTTAGTACAATCAGATTTATCATTTAAATAATTGATTTTTTTATGAGAGATTAATAATATTAAATGTATCAATTCATTTAATGATATGTAAAATTTATATTAAAAAATAATATCAAAAAATTATCCTATAACACTATCCTAATCTTAATAATAATACATAACAAGTCTTCCGGTGACGGAAGCTTAATACATAACAAGTCTTCCGGTGACGGAAGCTTATTAATTAATTGACTACTAACAGTAGTTCTCCATTAATTTTAGCAGTAGTAATCAAAATTAGTAGTAGTCATTAGTCAAAACCATTAATTTTAAAGGTCAATAATCAAAGTAGCTAGATTGGTGGTATCGTTTTCTTCGTTATCATTTTGGGACCATATTTTTTCCTGGATGAGAAAAAGAACGATTGCAATCAGCCTTTCGGGATGGCCCCATATAGGCCATGGCAATTGTCATGAAAGGGGGGGGGGGGGTGCGAGGCAGATTCTGGGACCATATTTTTTCCTGGATTAGAAAAAGAACGACTGCAGTCTGCTTTTCGAGACCGCCCCCCATAAGAGGCCCTGGCAATTGCCCTGAAATGGGGCGCACCAGACGGATTCAGCGACCGTGGGTTGTAAATTATGGTAACCTGTGAGGACACGGGCATAGCACCTGTCACCCAGCAATTGCCACGCATCACTGACGTCCGCTACACGTGCTCCCCTCATGCCCGCATGGCACAACACAAGCTTAGGTTTTATTTTAATTACCATACTACCTTTAGGAAATTAAAGAAATAAGTTAAA